CACAGCCTCTGCAGCATGTGTTTGATCCCCGGGCTGGCCAGGGAGCAACCCACATGGTGCAGCAGACCTCTTTTGTCTTGCCCAAGGCTCCCCTCAGCAGTGTATTTCAGTCAGTCTGCCTGTTCTGTTCCCCACTCTGTCTCTGGTGAATCCTCTCATCCTCCTGCATCTCTGGCCTGTACCCCAGCTCTTGTATGCATGAATAAATAAATCTTTAAAAAAAATGCAGGAATCCTTCACAAGGGGAGCCCAGAGGCCCAAAGGTGTGAAGTTACCCTCTAAATTCTTTCCAAGACCTGTCAAAGTCTTGTTGTGCAGAGCAGGAGCCGAGAAAATTCTTAGAACAACTAACACGAACAGCTGAACAGCACTGTTTTTTCAAGCCTGAGTCCATGAAGAATCTCACACCCCACATCCAATCTACCAGCACTTCCTTTCGACACTCCCTTCCAAGTATATCAGAATCCAGTCACTCCTCCTGACCTCAACAACTACTTCCCACCATCATCTCTCCCTGAATCACTGCAAAAGCCTCCAACTGGTCTCCCTGCATCTACCCTTGAGCTCCACTGCATCCTCAACATGGCAACCACAGCGATGACAGAGACTCCCAAATGAGATTAAGACAGACCTATGTTCTCTGCTCAAAACCTTCTAAGGTCCCCCATTCCTCTTAAAGCAAAAGCAGTCTCTGCTGTGGCATACCTGGCCTTGGTGAATCTACCCTCTACCTCCCCTCTCCCTGCTGCCACACCACCTCCCCCACCCATTGCAGCCCCACTATCCTATACTCCCTCTTCCTTCCCTCCCCCTTCTCACTCAGTTCCAGCCACTCCAGATTCCTTGAACACCTGGCACACTCCCACCTCAGGCCTTCAGTCCTTGCTGTTCCCTCAACGGGAACATTCTCCCTTCAGCCAGCTCCTTCAGATTTCCACTCAAACATCAGTTTCTTAGCTTCAGGCCATTCCTGGCACCCCTGCCTCAAGCTGCAATCACTCCCACTCCAAAAAAAAAAGAAAAAAAAAATTCTGCTTTATTTTTCTCCCTAGCATTTATACTATGCAACACACTCCACATTTGCTTAAAATATTTTTTAATTTTCTGTCTCCCTTATCAGAATGTGAACTCCAAAAAAGCAGGCATTTTTGTCTGTCTGTCTGTGCCCCAGTGTGCAGAATATTGGAGGAATTCAATGGATATTTTTAAATGCGTCATAGACTGATTTACATTATGTCTCCAAAAAGAGGACTAAAAAATACAAAGTTCGAACAAATATTATAGCTGGATACCCATGGGGATCCATTTATTTTTCTCTTGGTAATGTTCTTTCAGATAATCTTCAGATGAAATTCTGAATAACCCTGAATAAATTTGATTAAATCAGCCAGTCAGATATACAAACCACCTCGGGTAACTCTGCTTTCACAGTCCCCCCCATATACACATACACACCACCAAAAAAAAAACAGCTGAATCTCTTTTCCCCCAGGGCTTTCAGATAAATCAATCTTCTGTGTTCTCAACAGGTGTATTTATTGAGCATTTTGGAATAAGGTGTGTGAAGTATGATACTAGTGGGAAAAGACAGAAATTTCTATTTATACCACTCCTCACGCGGCACCCAGCAGGCACTGCTTAATGAAAAAGAGAAGGCCCTCTGTTATTGACATGGAGTGGGACCAGACACCTGACTGAGCCTTTTCACTTTGCTACTAACCTGGGCATGGAACCATCCTTCCATGCAGAAATGAGCCACACATGGAATGTTCCTGAAGAACCACACAAGTGCCTTCCTTGAACAGGAAAGCCATTAATTCTCAGGGTGGTCAGGGCACTTAAACGCCATCTCATCTTCACTGTTCTCCTCCCCCATTTTAAAGATGAGGAAACTTTAAAGGAGAGTGGGTAATGTGGACGAATGACCACCGACCCACGCACCACGCACCCCCTTAGTGACTGCCCCCGACCTGGAAGCCAGACTCAAATTCTCCATCACGCCTGGTCAGCCCCCTACAGACAGCAATTACTTCAGCATGAAGTGTTCAGGATATAAGAAAAGCATGTATTCATACCCTGCAGAGATGAAGATCTATTTTCTAGGCCATGCCATTTCCTATACTCCAGGGGAGGTGAGGTATATTGGGAGAATCATTCTGTGTCGTGTCAAGTCTGAAGGCCTTCTCTATTCTGATGCCTTTCATAGCATGGCAATTATAGAACTGGCTTTCCTGAGTCCAGGGTAGTCCCTGGACACCACACCAAAGCTTTCATCTCATCTGTATACTTCTCCAAAAGGCGTGTTTTCAGAGAAGTTATTGAAAGTTATTTCCCGTAAAGATGGCAAATACATCGACAGAAATGCTTCCGCCCCTAATTTGCCCTCCCAGTAAGCCAAAGAATTGAAAACATGTCATTGATTAAGAAATAGTAAGTCTCCCCACCTTACTCAGAGAAATGGTTAGGCTCAGGAATTCCCTTTCAAAGGAAGTCACAGAAGCCCACAGGCTGTGAGAGGTCTTTCCTGAGGCCTGCCTCAGAGGTGTCTCAGCTAACTCAGGTCCAAACCACATGCTGCCCTTCACTTCTCCACCCCTCCTGAACCAATCTTCACTGCCATTAGGTCCCCAGCTTCCAGGAAGGTCCTCTGACCACACAGACTAAGTGGCTGGAACCTTCAGCATCACCAGTAAATGTTCCTTCTGCCCTTCAAGGAAAGATACCCAGATCAGATTACTGAGCCCAGCAAAGCCGGTGCTCCCCAGGCCTTTACAATATTTTTATTTTAACAATGTAAGCTGACAACCTTACTCTATCTGGGCTTTCCTGCCTTGGGAATTTAAAGACATACGGTAAAGGTATGACAAACAAAATGACTGGACCAGAACGGTACTTTGGAAATGAATTTCCAGTCATAATTGTTGATGCCTTTGACTTACTCTTGTTTCACTGCAAACAAGAGAAGAGCCCAGACTCCAAATCCACATTGACCAGACTAGCAGTGACCTCCTGGATTAGACTCAGGTCAAGGTTGTTGGACTTGGCCCTGATGAAACAGGCATTCTGAACTGCAGATCACTTCTAGGAAGTCCCAGGAGACAAAATAATGTTAATAATCCATATTGAGATAATAAGTCATCCCATAATTTTGGTTTCTTTACATTAATATTAAAATTAGTTTTCCAAATATTAAAGTTAAGTCAAATTATTATTAAACATTTGCTGTTACATAATCTACAAGGTTGCTTAACCCCATATGGATAACCACGAGTTATTCTGCCTGGACCTGGATACCAGCTCCACCACTTAATAATTAGCTCATGTTTGGCAGGTCACTTAATCTCTCTATGCCTCAGCTTGTCCATCCGTCAAGTGGGGATAATAGTAAACCCCTACCTCACATAGCTATTATAAGAATAAAATGAGTTAATATTTAAAATGCACTTAAGATAATGCCTGATACCTGGTATTCATTTAATAAAGTCATCTATGACTACCATTATATGTCAGTGAATAAAATATTATGATCATTTTATTATCTGTATGTCACTCTTCTTGTACCTCTGTCAGTACTATAGAACCTCACTGAGTAGTCATATTTTAAAGAATTCTTTCCAAGGCAGAAGGTAAAGCTTTGCAACCCTAACAGAGACCCATACCCAAGTTCAAGGGCAATGCGGCCAGAGTCCCAAGACATTATTCCTACAAGAGCTCTACGGGCCTCTCTAGAGACAAATCCCCATCCTTCCCAGAGGTGAAAACCACCAGTAGTCATCCCCAAACAGCGCCTGCCACAGCAGGAATCACTCAATGAAGCCACAGCTCACTGAGCGCCAGCAGTCCACCACTGCAGAGGTGCGGCTGCAAGACTTGCTCCCAGGGAGCAAGAGTCAGGTAGGCAACACCGCATCACGCTGCCTGAAGGCTGCAGGCAGAGGGACCAGTGCGAAGGACCCAGGTGGGAACAAGCCATGCACAGGAATGCATTTTCACATGATGGGCTTGCACTCTTTGCATCCCCCTGCTTCCCACAGCCACCTAAGCCGTGTCAGGGTCCAAGCAAGGACATCCTGCTCTTTTCTCCATAACCTAAGCATCCCAGATCACAGTACCAACCCTGAATAAACCTCAGTGGTAATTTTCAAAAGTTTTCACCCAAACTCACCCATTAACTGGCCATGCTGAGGGGCAACCCTGAGTCCCTCTTTTTGAAAAGAAGTCCTTTATGTTTTCATTCCAACAAAGAAGAAACATCTATACCACAGGTGCCCAACAACTGGGGACCCTATTCTTGGTCACAGTCAGTGTGCTTTCCCTGGCAACAGAAGCATGGCTGGGATGCTACCCTCACAACTTAGCTGTGGGGAACCCACTGCGGTTTGGGGGTTGAGGGAGGGAAATAGTGTGAACAGCTGCAGTAGACCCTGAGCATGCATGGAACAGAAGATAATCTGGACTTGAAATGTGACTCTGGGAAAGCAAACCAATCAGAAACACAAGTAAAGGTGGGAAAACGGAGGAAGGAAATAATAGCACACAGATTTACCCTAGGAAACACCTCCTCTTTCTCTTCCCAGCCTAATCAACACCTCCAGGAACCCCTGCAAAATGTTCAGTTCATATAGCACATATGTGTGTGAATGTATCCTGACAGACACTGATCAACAATAGACAGATACAGATCACACGAAGGAAGAAAATAACTTGAACTTCAGACTCATCTGGCAGTGCCTGCTTCTCTTTCACTATCAGCCTCCCTACCTATCCCGAGGCCCTCCAAAACAAAACAAACAAACCCAACTCCTGGGCAGAGAGGGAACAGCAGCACATGCTTGGAGCATTCATGCCTTTGACTCCTGATTATCTCTGCTTTCTTGAGACGCAGCCACCAGCATTAGACTAAATACAGCCCTGGAGAGAAACTGCCTGTGCAGCGCCACTCACAGACCCTCCCTTGGAAAGATGCACCCAGGTAAGGCTCTGCCCCCACGTGACCCTTAACACTGCGAAATTCCTCCCTTCCATAACCGAGTGGCCATCCCAAGTCTTGCTCCCACCGAGTACGTGCAGATGTCCGTTCTGTAAGACTATGCGATGCAAGGACACAAACGGGAATGACCGAGGCCGGCTCTGCTCGTGACCACGTCTCTCGCCTCCACCGTGCGCCCATACACAGGGTGAGTAAACGCACAGAGCCGGTAAACAGAAATGCCCCCCATGCTCATCCCACTGTCACGCGTGGGGAGAAAGAAGTGACGAGGACGGCAGGGTCGGGGCAAGTGCAAAGTCGCCCGCCAGCGTGGGCTGCGCCCCCCACGCCCAGAGCTGCCCCCGCGCCCGCCCCGGAGCGGAGCCCACGGCGCCGGGGCGCGCAGACCCACGCGGGGCGCGCGGGTGCCTCGGCAGGGCCGACACCCCGCGCAGGAGGACGCGGCGCCCACCCGGGTTCCTGCCGCGGCGCCGGCGGAGCCGCCCGAGCACCCGCGGCCGTGCCACCTTCGCGCTGCCCTCCCTGCTCCCCACTTACGTTCCGAGGGTCTCCTTGAACTCGAAAATTTTCTTGATGTCTTCAGCCTGCTTTTTCCAGGAGGAGCTGCTCTCGCCGTTCTCCCGGGCCATGGCAGACGAGGACGGCGTGCGCGGAGGGCGGCGAGGAGGAGCGACCCGGGCGCGCGGGGCCGGGGTGGGCGCGCTGGGGAGGGGGCGCAGGGGCGGCGCGGGCGCGGGCGCGGGCGGCGGCGCCGGGAGGACCGAGGCGGCCGGCGCGGGGATGCTCGGCGCGGGAGCCGGAGCCGACTTTGTGCTGCGGCAGAGCTTCCTCTTGTGCAGTTTCCTCTTTCACTCTCGCCGCGCCGCGGTGCCTCCCTGGCTCTTATTTCTGCTCTTCTCGGGCACAGACTTCCTGCCGCCGCCGCGCAGCCGGCTGGGTTGCGCGGGTTGCCAGCCTCACTTTCTGCTACTTTCTTGCCTCCCTTCTCCTCCCTCCGCGCCGCCCGCCCCGCGCCCTCCCTCTCCCCGCCTCCCCCCTCCGCCCGCGGGCTCCCCGCCCTCCCCGCGCGCCCCAGTCTCCTCCCCGCCTCCCGCGCGCGGCCGCCTGCGGGGATGTCCTGCTCCCCCGGAGCGCCGAGCCCCTGGAGAGCGGGGGGCTCCCGCCACCCGCCGCCCGGCGGAGCGCACGACTCCCGCGCGCGCCCCGAAGCCCGGGAGCGGGCAGGTGCCGGGGCCCAGGTAGGCGCGGGGGGCCGGGCGCGCGCGGGAGGACTCCAGCTCCTGGGGTGCTTTATTAATCCTGCCCAGTCAAGTCCCCCGGGCTCGAGGGCTTTCCTCCCGGGTGGCAGGAGGGGGCGCCTCTGCGATGGGCGCTGCCGTGGAGTTGGCGGGGCTGGGGGCGAGGACACGAGGCCGGCCCGAGACGGGGCGCCGAGCGCGGGGGGCGCCGTCCCCGGGGCCGGCCTGGGCCCGGGGCGTCCCGGGTGGCGCGGGCCGCGCGGGCTGGGGCTGGTTGTTATGGCGACGGGAGGCGGCTGCCGGGATGCGGGCGGAGGTGGGCGTTGACTCGCGCCCCGCGGCGGCGGTCCGCGAGAGGCGCTCCCGGAGCTTGTCAGTCCCTCCCGACTCGGAGACGGGAGCTAATTCGCATTGCACCAAAATCGGCACTCGCGTCAAATTATGGCCGGGGGGAGGGGGCGTCGTGGGGAGGAGAAAGCCGGAGAGCCTGGGGCCCGGACGCGAGGACGTGCCGGGCGCTGCCAGTTTTCCCTTTGGAAGCCGAGCGCCCGGGGTTATCTGTGGTGGACGCGGGCACTGCCCGGCGCGGGCTCCGCGCGCAGCTCAGGCGGCCCCAGCCCCCCAGCTGGAGCGATCAGAGCGCCTGAGCCGGCCTGACGGCCTTCACTCGGGTTGGCCTCTCCTGGTTTCTCCCTCTCCCTCCCGACTCTCTGTGGCCTGGGCCAAAATGCAGAGGCACACCCTCCTGAGCCCCACCCGCACCTGGCTAAATGGGGGACCCTGTGGCAGGGCGTACCTCAGAGCATCCTTTCCTACAGGTTGGAGAAAGGAGCCCAAAGAGTTGCCTCTGGCCTCCCACCTCGGATGTGCACCTGAGCTGCCCACCCCTCGCCCACATCCACCAGGCACAGGGCACCAGGTGTCTTCAACCAGCAGGAACTATCGCCTGTTCATAAAATTGTTTTCTCTGCGTCAAGACTATCACACCCCCTGAACCCCTTGGCTCACTTGGGTAAACAGCGCTTACTCTTGATTGGTGACACCTGTCCCATTTTCCCAGGACTGTTCCAATTTCGCTGTAAAGAGGGGGGCGGGGGGGGGGTAATCTATTTCCTGAAAAGGAAAGTCCATCCAGCAGCTCTGTCTCTGATAGTCTCACTGATGCCTGGACCACAGACAGATCCTGACCCCTATCCTCACCCCAAATGGTGAGAATATAACCTGGCGGCCATCCATCCCTCCAACCTCAATGCTGCTTTCAGAGACTTAGCTTCTGGCTCTCCAGACTGAGGACAAATAGAGGATTTAGGTGGCTGTTGGAAACATATTAAATTGACAAACCTAACTTCCAATATCCATTACTAGGAACTCCCCTCAAACTTGGGACATTCCACCAAAATGCAAGGGGAACAGCACCCCCTTTGATAAGAAATATATATAATATCTTTTATTTGGGCCACAGGTTAGGTCATATGAAGAATAGGAACCAGGCATAAGACCCCAGGTCCACTCTCCCAAGCCCCTCCATAAGCATCTTCATGTGTGTTTGCTTTTTCTCTTTCCCATCTGTTTAACCCTTGCAGCTAAGGACCAGCCTTCAGAAGGAAAGGAAAACAACTCTATCTCAGCCTTTGTGGCCAGAACTAAAGAAGTGCTAATGTTCTCTCTACATTCTTATCAAAGGGAAGTCATTTTCCAGGAGGAGAAACAATGGGAAAAAGGGAGCGGGATTGTATGTCTCTATTTACCTACCCACCTGGAGGGTCTATGAGGACCAGGAAGGATTGAGTTTTGTGTCGCTATATCCCAGCATTTGTGCTGCAACTTACACAAGTAATTGATCCATGAGTGGGTGTTGGAGGGATAAAGAAATGAAATCGAATTAAGACAACTACTTGGTATTTGTTGTACTGGTGGATATGCTATAAGGAGTTTTCTTTCTCTTCCAAACTGTTTGTAATGTTCATTCAGCATTATCAAGTTATCCTCAGCTGGACTAAGACCTGGAGAAAAGACTCAAACACGTAAAGGGGAATTGAAAAGAATGGTTCCCATGTCCCAGAGCAGGAGCTGAAAATGCCAAAAACATATTTGTCTGGCTTTGGTATGGTCATTCCTCCATTACTGAGCATGGTGTAAAATAAAAGAGCTTGGTCATGGAAATTGCAATAGAAAATAAAACCCAGGGCCTCCCTGGTGGCGCAACGGTTAAGGTGCAACCTATGAAGCAATCCGCAGCCACTATAGCACAAGTTCGATTCCCAGCCAGCCAGGGAGCGACCCACAAGGCGCAGCAGACCTCTCCTGTCTCGCCTGCTGCTCCCCTCAGCAGTGTACTTTGGTCAATCTGCCTGTTCTGTTCCCCACTCTGTCTCTGGTGAATCCTCTCACCCCCTACACCTCTGGCCTGTACCCCAGATCTTGCATGCATAAATAAATAAATCTTAAAAAAAAATAAAACCCACTATTTTCTGAGAATGTCTGCATCTTCATCTGTAAATTGCCAAATTCTGTTTACTTGTGGATCCTCACTTTGACTGCTCTCCAGTGATTGACCAATTCCTCCCCACTGACACATTTTCTAAAGTTTTAGTGACCACCCCAACTCCCACTGTCTACTCCCCAACATTTCAGAAAACTCTGTCATATAGCCTAGATTACTAAAGTAGACCCCAATTCTTTATAATTCCTTAATGTCCTTAAGAATTTCTTTAAAGATTCCAAAGAGATACATTTAATAACCCATCATGAGAGTGTTATTAATTCTATTTCATTCTACCCTTCTGCCATTAGATCAGGTGTATGTGGCCCAGACACCAGGCTCAGAACTGGCCAGATGGGGGTGGGGGGACAGAGAAGGGGACAGATAAATACTATATAGAGCAAATGCATAGATTATATTTGAAACATTCCAAATGACCTCTGTCAACTTTTATACCTAAAATGATAAGCCAGGAAGTCAAACTGAGTGATAGACAGAACTAGGAGTTCAAAACTGGGCTCAAGGCCTAAGTCTGACCCTAAGTTTTTACATAAGATACTTTATCTACCTCAGTCTATAAGACATGTTTTGTAGAAAGGAGAATGGTACGTTAACTAGATTATGTGTAGGATTTTTAAATCACTGGGTTTTTTTAATATGGTGAAAAACTTATTATATGAAATATTATCACTCTGAAAATTGAAGAATTCTTTGGTCCAAAAAATGGATTGATTGAAAAGATTGTACTTGGTAACCTCATATAGATACTCCCTACATAAAAAACTTGTTTAAATCCCAACAAAAAATAATGCAGAGGGAAAAAATTCCTTCTTAAAACATTTCCAAATGGATTGTGTGACAATACTTTGATTTTAGAAGTCTCTTCTCACAAAGGATGCACCTTAATTGTGTACTTAGTTCTTGGAAATAGTTGAAAGTTACTAGAGCCTATTTCTTGCATACTAATAATTACCATAACTCATTGACAGTGTACACGCCAAAAATGCTTAGGAAAAGCATAGCTGATGAGGGATCACACAGAACCATCACCTTTGCAAAAAGCAACCTGTGAGGGAGTAGCTTGTACTACTATTGTATAGTAGTTTCAGATCTGTATTCGAAGAGGTAGAGAGTAAGAGAATGGTCATTCAATCTGGGTCATAAAGAACCTAAACTTAAGCCTGGAAAATGCCTAAGGCCCTGTCCTTAACATGAGCCTCTTACAAATAGCTATTCATGGAAGAACTTCTCTAGTTCAGAAGGTGAAAAATCAAGGTGTAACCAGCACAAAATCTTTACAAAATTCCTCCAATTTAAAAAAAAAAAAAGTAGGAAAAACAAATGGCAGTGAAGATTCAACACAAGAGAAAATTTGTTAAGGAATAGGCAAGATTTGTGTTCAAACATATCATAATTTACCAAAAATAACTTGCATAAAATAAGTACTTAAAGCAAAGATACATTTGCTCAGGGAAGACAACAGAAGGAATTAAAACATAAGCTAGAGGAGCTCAGGAAAGAAGCAGGAAATTAACAACCGTAGATATAAGACTACATTGGGAATGGCACAAGGACAATTCCTATTTAAAAAAAAAAAAAACTTCTAAGGGATAGAGAAGGAAAATTAAGAATAGTGGGGAAAGAAAAGAGTAAAAAACTAAAATAGGGGAGGAAAATAAAATGGAAACAAAGATTTAGTGAAAAAAAAAGATTTAGTCAAAAATTATAGGAAAAACAGAGTAAGCTCTCGGTATGTGCATAATGATGTACTTCTGAAAAGATTGAAATAATGAAACAAAAAATATTTAAAGATGTTATTTAAGAAAACTTTCCAGAAATGAAAACCTTACAGCTTGAAGAGGTACATCTTGTGTTAGAAAAGATGTGGTTAATCCATATGAAGACATTACATAGTAAAACTGCTTATCTTCAAAGAAATAATCCTTTAATTGTTTAGGAAAAAAAAATCAAGTCACTTGTATTGGGGAACATATATATCCTATATCATCCTGTCACAGAATTCTGTAGCCACAGGCAGTGATAAAAGATGTTTATAAAGTTCTTAAGGAAAGAAATTGTGATATAAGAATTTCATAATAATAATTAACACTGAGCTTGCACTGTATATGTCTCTCTTATAAGTGTTTTACCTTTATATAGTTATTAAATCTCACATCAAACATATGAAATGGGTAATACCTTATTTCCATTTTATAGTGGAGGAGATGAAAATTTGAAAAGGTAAAGTAACACAGTTCAGGTTATACTGTGTGAGTGAATGAAACCCAAGCAGCCTGACTCCAGAGCTGTGCCCTTAACTATTACACTAATTCTTTCTGTCCAAGTATTACTCAAATTAAATATGTCAGACACACAGTGAGAAGCTGTCACTAGGGGGAAGAGGAACGGATGTTGAGGAAACATCCACTAAGGGTATCAGGCCAACATGATTGATGGCCACCATAAGGTAAAAGCCATCTTTTTAATAACAAAAGTGAGAAGAATGTATAGTTGCTCAAACCGAAAATAGAAGAATCGAGTAACTGCTAAATCCACACATGTATCTTTTATTTCGTTTTTAGGTTCATTTTTTTCAAACCTCAAGGGATTTTCAAGTAAACACATCCCCCCTTGGATCTTTACCTAGAAGATATAACCTGCATCTTTCTACCAGAGACCTTTCTGCACATTCTCCCAGACCAGGATTGTCCTTATTCTACAACTGACTTGGAAACACAACATGGTCAGTTCATGACAGAATGAAGAATCTATCCTCAACTCAAGGAAGTGAATGTGGAAATATGCTCTAACCTGATAAATATGATGCCTCTTGTTTGGGGGACTAGGCCTATAACAAAAATGGGACCTCCCCTGTTTTCCTACCCAGCACTGGAAAATTGAGTTAGAATCTGCAGATATTCAGACAGATCTATATTTGAACTTAATTTGAACTATATTTGAACTTATTTCAAACAACTGAAGGAGGTACATTTGATGATGTACATAAATGCATTTACTAAAACTGAGGACATCAAGTCAATAAATATGCTGTTTAATATAAGCAGAGGCAAGTCTAAGCAACACCACAGTGGCCTCAAAAAGGGGCCCATAAAGTCTGACTTTCTCCAAAAACCCATATCTTTAAAAAATCTTTTCCTGGGCCTCCCCTGGTGGTGCAGGCGGTTGAAGCAGCGCTGTGAAGCTGTCCGCAGCCTCTGCAGTGCTGTTTCAATCCCCACCTGCCGCGGAGCAACCCACATGGCATGGCAGACCTCTCCTGTCTCCCCTGCTGCTCCCCTCAGCAATGTATTTCCATCAATCCACCTGTTCTGTTCCCGGCTCTGTCTCTGGTGAATCCTTTCACCCTCCCATGCATCTGGCCTGTGCCCCGGTTCTTGTATGCATAAATAAACAAATCTTAAAAAAAAAATCTTTTCCTGTAAAGATGAGTAATTAGCAAAAGATGGGATCCTGATTGTAAGATGTTCTTTCTTCCATTTTAGCTATTTGAACCCATGAACATTTGAAACAGTAGTTACTTAGATAATTGGAGCATGGAGAGAAATCAATCTTTAAAACTAGTTGTGGCAGAGCTACGAACTTTGGGACTATGAATTGTAACACTGGTGAGCTGACCTTAACTATCTCCCTCAACAGAGACATTTGTTGAGCTTATACTTTGGCTAGAAAAATGAGCAAAGCACAGTTCCAGGTATTCAAAGAGACAAAGACAAACATGTAAACAAGACAGTAAGAATAAAATGTAATGTAGGCATATCATGGAGGTTTGCACAGAGTGGTGGGGAAGCACATATCATAGAGGGTCCGACTTCCTACCCATAGATGCCAGAAGAGGCTTCACAGAAAGGAAGGTTTCTGAAATGGTTCTGGAAGGATCAGTAAAAATCTGCTGAGTAGCTGTTACAGATTTTCAGCAGAAGGAAAAACATGTATAAAAGTACATAAATCAAAGAAAGGTGTAGCCCTCAGAATAGGCTGTTTAGTGGCAACCTCCGAATCTTAGTGACTTAGAATAGTTACTTACTCTCTTCCATCAAAAACTGTTTGGGGACCTATGGGCAGAGCAGCCACCAACTTGAACTGAGCTAGTCACTGTGGCGAAGGTAAATGGGCCAGTTCTCGCACCAGCAAAGGGGTAACTGTTTTGTCCTGGAAGTGAAACACATCACATATTCCACTCACAAGCTATTGGCCAGAACTACGAACATAGCCACCACCAACCACAAGGGGGCCAACATGGGGAGCTCTCATCTGCAGGCCCAGAAGGGGGAGAGCCAGAATCTTTTGGCAAAGAGCTCTAGTGACCATCGCAAAGGCACCACAGAGGCTCTGTGTTCAGGAAGTGGTGCTGTATGAGTACAGTGGGTTAGAGTGACCAGATCCAGGAATAGCAGATGAGACCAGAGGAAACTGAAGAACCTGTTGCTGAAAAGGTCTCCAATGTCTTTCCTTTGAGCCCAAAATACAGTGTGCGTGTGTAGAGCTTCAACAAGTGTGACAAGCAGGATTGAAAACAGAACAGCACTGCACCCTGCATTTCAGCAATGGGTCCATTACCTGCAGAAAGGGTATGGACTTGTGGTTGCTTTTATAATCCTGGTCTTATGAGACACCTTTGAAGGATTCAGGATGGTAGCTCTAGAGAAAATTGCACTATTGCATCCTACTTTTAATATAATAGATTTTAATTTCTAGCCATTAAGTAATCTCAAAGTCTGGGGTGGAATCCTAAAGATGTGCCAAAGACAGATTAATTAGCCAGGATTCTGAATGGGGACATCTCAGTAGAGCTGTTAGTCCCCAAGATAGGGCAAGTTTGGTGAATCTTAATCCAACAGAGCTGTGAAGCTGGAATCCTGTTATTGGTGAGTGGGTAGGTACCCCATGCAAAAGTGACTTTGCAAATAGCCTGATGTGGGAAACAAATCATCAGTAAGTGAGTTTGTGAGTTGGTCTGGTGACAGTTCTCTACAGTAAAACCAAAAAAAGAAGAAGAAGGAGAAGGAGAAGAAGGAGAAGACAGAGTGGGTAAAATAGAGAGTTTTTTAAGCACTCGGGGGAGAAAGACATCTAGGTAAAGTTGCAATATTTGGGCGATGATTATAGACTACAAACCAGAGCAAGGTGTGCAAAATCAAAGAGCCCAGATCTCACCTGGTGTCTAACACATCAACTTCAGGCACTTTCCAATCCCTTTTTAAAATGGGGATGGATAACATACGGGGATGGATGAGGCAACATCTGCAGTGCGCTTTGGGCTTCTCAAAAGAAAGGAAGTAGGGCCTCCCCGGTGGCGCAGCGGTTGAGCGCTGGGTTGCGAAGCTGCCCGCGGCCTCTGCAGCGCCGGTTCGATCCCTGGCTGCTCCCCGGCCACCGGAGGAGGGTCCCACATGGCGCGCAGACCTCTCCTGCCGCCCGCTGCTCCCCTCAGCAGTGTACTTCGGTCCTTCTGCCTGCTCTGCTCCCCGCTCTGGCTCTGGTGAATTCTCACCCTCCCCCGCTTCTGACTGTACCCAGTGCATGTATAAACAAAACAAACAAACAAACCAGCAAACAAATAAATAAAGCATGCCTCTATAAAAAAAAAAAGAAAAGAAAAGAAAAGAAAGGAAGTAGATAAACATAAGGTAT